TCCTTCATTACAAAGAAAATAGAGAGCAGTAGGTAAAACTATCTCAACTTTTGTTCTAGTTATTCCAGTTATGTCAATTTACCCCAAATCTACATTCTCTTTCCATTTTCCAGAGAAGAAGTATCCTGTCTTCTACCCATAGATTAGATTTCTCTTTGGTTCTACTTATTTCTTAATTCATCCCTCACTTCCACATTCTCACGTTGGAAACTAGAAAAAATATCTGGAACCTTTTAAAGGACAGTTGTAGGGGAGAAAAGATTTCTTACCTATTGCAAGATTCACAGCTGAGATCTCCTATAACATAAAAGACAAATAGCAAGAGAAAAGCATATGAATTAAGTTTTATGTGACACAGGAACTTTCAGAAAATGACCCCAAAACCTATGGAAAACTGTATGTTTTTATGGACAGTACTGCAGAAGTATGATTAGAAGATGAAAGGGTATGATCTACTAATAAACTAGGGAAACTTAGCAAGACTTGTTTATTCAGTACTTCTTGGAGTCTGTGTGTGATGTTCCTTCCCTTTGGGTATAGGGCAGGACACTCGCCACATGAGAGTCTTCAGGGGAGAAGGGAGGGAGGTCAGACAGTGACCTTCCTAGGCTTTATTGTCTGCCTCGTGGGAGAAGGTCAGAAAGACCTCCTTGCTTTTGCTGTTTTCTTAAACGCCAAGGTGCCCTGTTTGGGGGTGGCATTTCCTGTACCCCATCATTGTCAATAAATTACATGTTCTCTCCTGAATCTTTGATATTTCCTTCTCTACTTGCCTTTCTCTTTTTGCATAGAATTAGGCTCACTTCTATTCTATTAAAAACCAAAAAGAACACTGATTCCTCATTCTCCATGTTTCATTCTCCTCAAAGATAAGGTGGGATAAATTTTTCACCTTATTTGATGACTGTATACTTCTTTCTTCTCTTTGGAAACTTCTCTCTGCTTTGGCTCTTGCGATACCATTGTTCTTGGATTCCTTTTTCTATACTACTCAGGTTCCTCTGTTTGTTTTTTAAATGTACCTTTCCAGAGTTGTAACTACTGTTTATTTCCTTCCTTTCTCTCTTCACTCTACTTCGGGAGTTATACATTGATCTTAATTTCTATGGAGATTTCTCTTTCAAGAGCTCTAAACCCATGCCATTCAAATGCCTAGTGTATATTTATACTTGAGTCTCCCCAAAACACCTCTAATTGAACTAATAATAATGAACCTGTCAATGTCCCTTTAAACGGTTATTTCTCCTATACTTACTTTCTATGCCACAATTTCCCATCATTCTCTACCTGAGAAACTCCCTGAATCATCCCACTTTCTTCCTGTCATTCACTTTCTGTACCCAACAGTGCATGAAATCTTATTGTCCATCCTTCAGAATTCCTGTTGCGTTAGTTGCTTCTACTTGGCCTCCCCTTCTTTTTCTTTTATCCCTTCCACCACCACTAAATTAGTCTGAGTCCATCTCATTTCTTACCTCTTAACTAGACTTTCTGTTTGTGATTTCTGTTCTCCCTGTAAACTACCATCCATTCAGTGTCAGGGAAATAATTTGATCATATTTATATACATTTACGTGATCTTTTTACTCTCTGACTTCTCATTTTCTAGTATCTCTCCATTATTTTGAGAATATAATCTAAATGTTTCAGAATCGTATTTAAGACCCTTGGCCTGACCCATCACTCTTCCCTATCTCTCCTGCCCTCATTCCATACCTTTTGCTGAACCAAGCTTGGACTCAATCATTTGAATCTCTTGAAGTTACTGAACATGTTATGTTTTACATTCTCTCCGCCTTCGTTGTTACTTCCCTCTCTGCTCAATTTTGACAAGTTCCACTTGTCTTTCAAATATGACTTCAAGTAGCTACTACTCCAGAAAGCCTCTTCTATCAACCTCCTCATACCACTACTTACTAAGCATTGACTCTCTTGTGCTTCCTCAAACATTTCCTACCATGTTCTTCTTCTTGTTTTCTCTCTCCCTCCCAGACCCAGTTTTAAACGCAGCCTGCATCTCCATCTTTTAGTATCTTTTCCAGCAGTTACTAGTACTTGTTGAATGGATTGACAAAGAACAACAATGAATTCTTCCTAGTGGAGTGCTATGTTAGTTGCTTATTACATGAAAAAGCTGTATCCTCTGTAATTTCCCCCAAATTTTATAGTGTCTTCTGTATAAATTTAATAAAATAGTGCTTAGTGATTACATATTTGTGCTTGACAATTTACCAAGAAAGAGAAAGACTGATAAAAATTTTTTGCTCATATGAGTGTTTTCACTTGAGTAATTTTTTACTTTCATGATTAATGGGGCCTTTCCTTATTTTCTATTTTTTATAACCTTTTAATTCCAGGTTGAAAGCCTGAGTGCCTAAGCATTTCAGAAAACCAGGTTAACACCTCATATTTATAAAAAATAATCCTTGCTCCTATAAAGTGTTCCTAACAGCTTGTCAGTGGGGTAGGGAAGATTGGATGGGTTCTGAATTGCTTTTCAGCCAAAGCAGGTTCACCTCAATGAACATTGGTAGTGACAGTGCACTTGTGACAAGTTAGAATGCATATTTTGCATCAGTTTAGTATAAATCAGAATTCAGGGATGAGTTACATTCACTTCCTTACATATATATTCTTTGCCTCTCAGTTTCTAGCTAAAGGGATGTATAACGTGTCTTACTATTTGTCAGTGTTGGAAATTATATTTGAGAAGAAATGACTCATTTTCTCTAGGTTCTAGTACTTGTTCAGCACCTGCTTAGAGAAATGAGATAGTCTCATCTAAATTAGGAAATTATTGTATCAATGGTTTTTGCTCCTACCTGTATCCTACTGTAATTTTTTGTATTTAATATAAAAATGGGACACAACTGTATTTACTAAGAGTATTTACTTATAATATTTTTCAAATATAGGCACCAGCGAATAAGTAGCACTCGTTAAAATATTATTCTAACAACTTTTCTCTATTTTATGCCTTACTCTCTTTTGTTTTTTGTTTCTTGATATTCATTTACCTTTTTCTATCCTGTTCATACAGTGTGATTTAATAAGTATTCTTGCTTATTTTTATATGTGCTAAAGTATTCCTAGTTTTAATGTATTTCATTTAGTAACTAGTTTGTTTCATATGTCAGTCAAGCCTCTGTGTTTTCCTCTAAGGCATTTCATCCTTTTCTATGACTGACTTTCCATTTTTTTCTTCCTCTTCTCTGCTCATCATTCTTGAAATGCTCTCTTCCATGTCATTTAAATCTCTTTTCCACGTCATACTTTTATTCCATATTTATTTTGTTACATTTAAATTTATCTGAAAAAATATATTTACACTACTTATATTTATATTTAATAAATTATATTTATACTACTGGATTTCTTCCCTAAGGAAGAGAAGACATACACAGTTAAATCTCCATGACTGAAATTATACATAGATATGTAGAGAAAAGTTCAAATTCAAATATAAATTATCTAACATTCTTACTAGCTTACTAATGTTTCTTTATACTTGCCTTGGCAAAAAGGAATACACACTTTAGGTCTACAACCTGAGGAAGAATAAGTGAAATATATGGAGGAATACAAATTAAGTGATTTTAATATGAATAGGGAAGATTTTGTGGTTCTATTTGGTAATATCTCTAATACCAGGAAAAAGTGATATAGAACATGGATTTAGGGTCTTCTAAAATATCCTGACATCCATAGCTCATATTTTAAGATGTCCATTGCATAATGGTCATCTAAGATGTCCATTGTATACCTGAAAAAGATTTGAACTTAAATCCTTCAATCATAATTGTAATGATCAAAACTACTGCTTTAAAATTTGGATCTAGTAATTCCATTAATTACTTGGATCCAATAATTCCAAATCTAATTTGATCTAGTAATTCCAAATCTAAGAGCCTCGCTAAGGAAATATTCTTTCTTTTTTTTTTTTTTTTTTTTTTTTTTTTTGAGATGGGTCTCACTCTGTTGCCCAGGCTGGAGAGCAGTGGCGTGATCTGGGCTCACTGCAAGCTCCACCTCCGGGGTTCATGCCATTCTCCTGCCTCAGCCTCCCGAGTAGTTGGGACTACAGGTGCTGGCCACCACGCCTGTCTAATTTTTTGTGTTTTTAGTAGAGACAGGGTTTCACCGTGTTAGCCAGGATGGTCTCGATCTCCTGACCTCGTGATCCACCTGCCTCAGCTTCCCAAAATGCTAGGATTACAGGCGTAAGCCACAATGCCCAGACTGGAAGTAAAATATTCTTAAGCTTCATGCTCTAAGATATTTGTGGTAGTGTAGTATGTAGTGGTTAAAAGCTGATGATTTCTTAAATTTCCCTTTAAAAAGGAGGATGGTCAAGTATATTATGGAATATAGAGATAATGGAATATTAAGTGGCCATGATAATGGAATATTAAGTGGCCATTAAAAATAAAATGTTTACAAAATGTTTGTAATGCCGTGGGAAAGTACATATTGTATGATATAAAGCTAAAAGATATATGAATTTTATATAACATGCTTTCAACTATGTGAAGGAATTTTAAAAGACTAGAAGGGAATGCATCAAATTGTTGAATGTTCTACCTGGCTGGTGGAATTTTTCTTGCATTTTACAACTGGTCTGCATTTAGTATAATCTTACTATTATATTCAGAAGACTTGGAAGCTAAAAGATAAAGTTTGTAGTTTAGAATGTTTAATAGCTATTTAATGGAATTTTAATACAAAATAAGCAAATTGTTTACTCTCATTGGACAAGACATCAATGTCATTTTTCTCTTTTGATTTGGAGGCATTTCAGCTTCCTGAAAGCCTGCACACTAAAGATTCAGCGCTTTTGCAATTTAAAGCTGGAGTGGAAGGGTGGACATAGTCGGTGCTAGGAGGGAGAATAATTTAAGGGCATTTTAAATGAATTATCTGTAGCATGGATACAAAATATCAGCATGTGACTTTTGTTTGCCAGAGATCTGATAGAACATAATCTTTTCTGATTTCTGCAGTATCAAATCATGGGTGGATAAGATGCAAGAAGACCTTGTCACACTGGCAAAAACAGCAAGTGGAGTCAATCAGCTTGTTGATGTGAGTAAAATCCACCCAAGAGATTTCTTAATCTTTTCATTAATTCAAATGCAGTTCTATCTTCTAGGAAACTATATCTCTATATTACAAATGGGATGTGATTTCTCATGTGGGTCTGGTGGTGAAATTCTGAGAGACACCTTTGGTACTGCTAGTTACTGTGAACAAGAAATGCCATCCTTAAAAACTAAGGAAACTTTCTCAGCACACTTTGCAGTTGATACGTAGGTCTCACTTACATGAGTCTGCGTGTCATGTATACTCTCCATAAATTTAAGTAGGGAAGTCATGTACTTACTATTAAAATGTTTCCATTCTTCAGAACATATTTAATAATCCCTCATACAATGGTGACTTGAACTCCTGTGATGGATTCTTTTGAATATCCTCAGTGAAAACATATCTTTATTCTTTGAGGGTAAAAATTATTTGAAAAGTGTTTACAGGCATGTCTAGAGATTAGAGTTAGTCATTGAGATCAGTAATAACGGTTTTGGTGCAAGATAAGGAGACTCTATAAAAGATGATTTTTCTTGTGACTTATGAATTGGCTATGAAAGTCACTCTAAAACGATGTTTGAGTGACAGCAATATATAAATATTTGTATGGCATCTTAACTAGATTATTTTCCGTGGGTAAGAGCATTTACATGTATAGGTTCTGTAAGATTTATTAAAAATTAAATGTCACTTTTTAAGGGCCTCACTACTTTCATTTAAATGTAAATAATACATTTGAAAGTATTCTCATCTTGTATTGTTAGTGATGAAATGAGGCCTTTTATTTTCCAAAAATGTGATGAGTCAATGAGATAAAGTGGTATAAAAGCAGCTTGATGTATAATATATGACTATTTATCATGCAAGTATGTATGAGAAAATGGAATGTGTGGTTACTTCATGTATTAATAGAAATTCTTAAGGAAACCACATACATATATACTTCAAAAAATTATACCAGAATGTCTTTATAAAACAACTATAGAGTGTGTTGAACAAACCTGAGTGTCTGTGAGATAAGGGGAATATGTTTGGAAATGAAAGGTGTTCCCTGCGAATAACAATGATCAGATTTAATTCTAGTCAGTGTATTATGTTGAGCAGGTAATATGTCCCAGACACTGTGAGGGCTGCCAAATATAAATAAAGAAACAGTATTCCTCTCCTCAGAGAACTGACACTCTGTTGATAAAAACAAATCTCAATTACTGATGGTGCAAAGAAACTTCAAAGTTATTGTGTGCCGATGCTTGGGATCTGTAGTGATTCACTGTGGGAAACTAAATTAGAATATGAAAGTGTGTAGGTAGTAAGTGAGCCTCTGTGAAAGTCATGGAGTTTATTTGGAAGCACCACCAAATCTTCTTTGTTAATTTTCATTTGGACACTATTTAGATTGAGAGCAAATATTTTATATAATCATAATGAGAAAAAAAAAAGAAATTACAGGTTCTGGTGAGAAATTACATGACTGTTTTTATCAACAGGTGGAGGTTAAAAATAAGCTGCTCTTGGGAGCATCTCCCTTACTCTGTGAGTGCTTCCCCAGCCTCAAAAAACAACTTGCTTGGCTGGCCTCATTGTTCCTTTTGGTGTTAATATGTGAAACTTTTCTTTCTGAATCTGCTTTTTTGCAATGACTCATTAACCAGAAAGAAGTCTAACTGGTTTCTATTATGCTTTATGAAGAATAGATTACTAAGAAGAGTATAGCTATTGATGAATGAATCAATGACTCTGTCTGAATTAACATAACAAAATAGAGTGGAAAAGATGAAAGAAAATCTCTCTAGTTTTCTGTTTATGGGATACATACCTCTTTACGGTGACAGAAAAATTACAAATTAATGAATAATATGTTAGATAACTGGGGTGGTGGGAAGAGTGTTAGAGCAGAATTCATTATTGGAAAAAGAATTTAAGTACTAGGGCACACAAAGAGTATCATCTTACACAGACAAATGATTCCATATTGTCTCATTCCTTTTGAGGAAGAATGTCAGAGTTTAGAGTGAATTTTGAGCTGAGATTGGGTGTGTTGGATACATGGTGAGGGCCAGAAGTTGAATAAACTCAGGAGTTTAGCAGGGCTCCAGGTTGAAATTTAATATTGTAGAAATGAAGGTTCTTCAAATTACAAGTTACATTCATTTTTTACTGACTTCACAGGGTACAATTAGCTTTTTACATGAAGGCCAAGAACCAACACAGGTACCATGGCTAAAGTAATATATTTTTTGTGATTGTGCCACTGCACTCCCCCTGGGCTTCAGAGTGAGACCCTGTCTCAAAAATAAAATAGTAATATAGTTTTGCAATTTTGTGAAAATTGCTTTATTGTATCCTAAAATAGTAGCCCACAGAAAGTTGCTAATATTATTGAATACATTCAGTGCTTCAACTTTACAAATGTGAGATTTTTCCCAGGTTACCTGCCTGTCTTCTGTTAATGATCACAAGTGAATAGGGTTGCTTAGGACTATTGTCCGTGATGCATTAGACTTTTAAGATGTCTTTTATTAGATTATTCCATTACTGAACCATTTGGAGAATACATATGTCCATCAGTTGTATATGCTCATCCACAAGGTGGGTAAAATAATTGAGAGAAGGTTAAAATTTTGTTTTAGGTTACACAACTATTAAATAGGATGCAACTCTGAAATTTGAAACACCTTCTTGTATGCTTTAGAACATATGTTAATAGCGTTTTTTGTCCTTATTTGTACCTTGAAAAAATAAGCAGATTCCCCACGTAAGCAAGGTCAGTATATCTGATTATGCTAATGCTCTTTTTATAAAAGATATAAATTATAAGAAACCAAAGCTCCGCCAGCAACAATTACCTACTCATGATGTTTCCATTTGATTTTTTTTTTTCCAAAAAGAAAAGAGTGGAAGGAAATTTTAACATATAATATACATTCATAATTTAAAACCTCCCATTTCTGTTGATACCACAGAAATGGTTTGTTTGTATATCCATTGAGATAATTGCTAAGAATGATACAGAAAGTAAATTTTCACTGGTTTTTTTTCTTCATGATCTTCTAACTGAAGAAAACACTTAATATTTCAAATGGAGTATTATAGCATATCCCTCTGAAAAATCCCTAAGGCTATTTTACCTTGGTTCTGCCAATTGCCAGCTTTAGGATCTGGCCAAGATATTTAATCTCATGGAGTTGTTGGGATTAATGATACAATCCATATAAATTATTTATTGACATATAATGAGAGCTCAACAAATGTCATTCATTTGTCATATTACTTGGTGGCGTTGTATAAGTTGGGGTACAGGCTGGGCCAGTATGACAAACATACAGGCTAAACATGTATTTTACTGTCACATAGCAGTTGAGAGGTAAGCTGTCGAGGGCTGGCAGGGTGACTCTGCCATCCTTAGCCTGTGGCTTCCATGCCTGGATACAAAATTATTCTTCCAGTTGCTTTTATTTCCCAGTTGTCCTGTAAAGGGAAAGAGATTTGGAGAGAAGATATCCAGTCATTTAAGAGTAAGACGTTTTGCTCACATTAAAGTGGTTAGAATTTAGTCACATCTAACTCAAAATGTGTCAAAGAAGTGGAGGCTTTTTCTGAGCAGCCATGTGCCCCACTAAAATTCTGTCACAATGGAAGGGGACAGAACCAATAGTGGAGGACAAGAGCAGTCTTCACTTGTATGTATTATTATCTGAATATATAAAAATGTATTAAAGCTATATTAACAGAGATAGAAGCTGTATTTACACATTTAAAATATTATAGACAGAAAAATAGGAGAACAATCCCCAAATTTAGAAAAATATATATGTATTTTTAATAATCTGGATTATAGAATATTTTGAAATATATTTTATTATTTCTAAACACACACACACACACACACACACACACTCCTTTAGCTACTGCACTGACAAATGGCAAGGCTGATCATCACATATTTATGAATATATAACCTTTTAAAAAATTAAATAGTCTTAATATTCCTGAGAACAGTGTTTTAAAGTTAATGAAATGTTTACCATTGCCATTTTAAATGGTGCATGTGACATTGTTGTTATGAAGCTTTCTTCTTAAAGGTAAACTGTCTGACTTTCTCAAATTTTAGGATAGCATCTGCAAATATATTTAGAATAATGTGTTGATTAAATTTTTCCTGGAAGCTTAATTTTGAAGGTAGGCTTATTCTGCAGTGGCATTGCCATAGAACTTCCTGGCTTTTGATTCATTGTTAATGATTTATTAAGTGAAAATTTCAAAACCAATACCTTTACATTTCAATATGCTACTCAAAGATGTAAACATGAAATGTGTATAAATATTGAGCATTCAGCACTCTCAATTAAGATAGTATTTACATAAGCATTCTGAGTGAATAATTTCTTTTCATTAGTAATTCAAACTAATGCTTATTCTTTGACATTGTGGTCATGTCATCTCATGTAAATAGAATATTCTTTTTCTAGGTGGCAGAGAGTTTAATATATTTACAAAGGGAGATACTCAAAAACAGAACACAATTAATCATTGGTGATCCTGACTAGGGAATCAGCAAGATGTGCAGGCAACAAGGAGGATTGGAAATCTTCAAGTCCGGGAGTGCTGAAAAAAGCTGTATTAGAATATCAGATATTAGAATTCCCTTTACCCAATTGTTTTGAGGGTAAAAGGCAATATAAAATTTTAAATAAGTTATGTGCTTTCTCACTTTAAATAAACAAATATATACTATTTATTATTAATTCCATATGTTTTGCTTTTATTCAGAGTTGCCTTACTTCCCTCAACAATTAAGTGCTATAACTAAATCAGCACCATAATGATGTAGGCAATTTAAAATTATCTTACACTCTGAATTTGCTCTTTTTGTCATAAGTAGAAAGAAATCTATTTTGACTGCAGAATATAGCACTACAAAGAGTGCAGAGAGTATGGATTCCTTTCACCATCATCCTGCCCCCGCCTCCCTGCTGCACTGGAGATTTTTAAGTAAGAAG